GAACTTTTCGCACTTTCCAACTCTTTTGCACTGGCGTGTTTTTCACAAGCGTGTTGATAAGTGCTTTTGTCTGGCTTTCGCCAATCGACATGCAAACGGTCGCAGTGTGTCCGCATGCATGAAAGTGTGAACATGTGGCAACTTGTTGTTGCGCTCAATATTAACATTATCGAAAATTCCATTCACATATCCCTCGTGTGTATGCATATATATATGCATATATGTTTGTGTGTTTGTGTGTTTGTACATGCAGCGAGCGCTTAAAGGCTAAAGTAAATTGGTTTAATGTGTTTATGGTCGAATGTGGCCACAAAAAAGGAGCTGAACTCCACAGCGGAGTTAATAATCCCGTAGGGAAATACTTTTATTTCGAACTGGTTCATTTAGCACCAGTACTATTTTGAGGTTTTAACACTCTCTTTTACGCAACTAATGTATTGCGACCAATATTGTTATAATAAAAGCGAGTTGTTTCTTGTTTTGACGTTGTTTTTGTTACCCTACCTACCTCTACCACAGTATCTTTTTACAAAGTCGTAAATTACCAAAATTTTCTCAATTCCACCTCAATATTTGATAGGGCTTTTTCAGTTTCAAACCAACTGCTTGTTCGATTCACTACTCTCCAAAGTTTAGCGCACAGAACATAGCCAGTGAATCATTTAGAAGCCGAGCTTGTGAGATTTGTTCAACACTTTTTCATTTACATTGCAAAATATATTGTACACCGATGGCAATATTCTCTCTTACCCAGTAAATTTTTCTAAAAATCGAATTTATGGCACGCTCGCTTTCTGTCACAAGATTCCGGTTGTAAACCGTGTGAAGTTCGAATAAATCTAATATAATAGATCTAGTAAAAATCAGTTCATTATTTCTGAATTAATTCGAAGTTTTATTCAGCAGGGTGAAAATTGTGTGAGATTCAAATAATTGTTAGCATTTTGAAGTTATTCTCATTAGGCAACTTTCTCAGAATCCTTCGTCCTTAAAGGCAAAAACTTGAGACTCTCTTGAAGAAAAAGTTTTACCAGCAATATTATTTTTAATAGATGGGAACAGTTAGTAATCACTTGATCTCTGATCGGAAGTAACACACATTTATACTAACTAAGTTTCCAGTGTTTCTGGCGGGTCCCTATCGATGCATGTATCGGACGATGTTCAAAAATTAATCGGTTTTGTTGCGATTCACCAGATATTCGCAAATAGAAATTCGTTGACCCATACTTCCAGCAAATTTTTATATCCAGGCGTGTGGAAATAATACTGAGTCCAGCACTATAGCCTTGTATTGTTTTTTAGTACGATTAAAACGGGGTTTTCAATATAGACGCTACAAAAGTAGACCAATAGGGACAGTGAACGACATTTCTCTTCAGTAGGCTTTGTCATTTCATCATGGAAACATATACGACCCAACAACGGGTCGAAATTATTAAAATTTACTACCGAAATTCTGAGTCAGTGGCTTCAACTTTCAGATCGCTACAAACAGTTTATGGTCGTCATAATCGTCCTGTCAGATCAACAAATGGACTTTTTGTGGAAAAATTTGAATCCACAAGCACAGTACAAAATGTGACAAAGAGGCACTCTTGTATGTTYGTCGTATGTTCGTGAAAAGGACCGAGCAATAACTTGAAAATTGACTCATTTCTGGCTGAAGCAAAGTAACGTTATTGGTCAGGCTGCAATCCACAAGGACTCCATGCGTCACCGTTGCATCCCGAAGAAGTGACGGTTTCATGCGATTTATGGGCCGGCGGCGTCATTGCGCCGTACTTCTTCCGTGCTGATCAAGACCGACAGTTATTGTTCAATGATCCTTTTAGCCCGAATTGGATGATATGGATGGGGTTTCGTATGCTCTCACGTCTACTAGAGATATGGAAGCACCGCATTAATTATGACGAAATATGGAAATTTTAGTCGAGCTCAAAAACCGAGGTAATGCTAGGGGTATATGTTGAAAAGTTTCCGGCCAGCATAACTTTCTATAGTAATACATGGCTACTAAAAGAAATACAATAAAGCCAATTGAATATCAAGAACGACTGTAGACTGGCATTTGCTCGAAATATACTAATTATAAGATGGCTATAAGTCGCAGTAAGGTTTACTGGCGGGATATGTGATACCCTTCGTGCTTCATATGTGGGTAGCCGTCAGTGTGCTGTGTGGATGTGAGCATAAATATCTCTCCGCTTTCCCATTCTGGCAGTAAAAACTAATGACTGAAGCTGTTTGCCATTTCAAATAAAATTCGGTATTCAATTGCAATCGATATTTTAAGTGTTTTTTCTTTTTTTTTTTGAGTTTTTATGCATGAGGTATAGATTTGATACACGGTTATTTGGGGTTTCCGAAAAAATCTTTAGTTCGAATGGTATTAGTCTGAAAATTGACTAACGCAACGCGCTAATGCGGAACGGAGCGGTGCATAACTAATTTTAATATCGTTAGTGGTTGTCTCAAACTGATTTTATTTAGACGAAAGTTTTTCAGCATGTTCATCGCTTATTACTTGCATTATTTGTATGCATAGCTATGTGGAGAGTATGTAAGTACTAATCTGAACTCTTTGTTCTATTCAATATTGTCTTGGAAGCCATCAGAAACACTTTAACCGTTGATGGTACATGCTTCTCGCCCCGTAACTCGAATGTGGCAATCTGTTGTTGTATTTCTTCTGAAGTGAGCTTCTATTTTTCTATTTTAGATGATAACGTGTATATATCGATTTAAATTAGGTTATGTTGGGAAATAAAGCAAATTTTCAGACAAAATATGTTTCTTTTTAAGAAATAAGCGGCGGTTTAAACCAATTTTTGTAGTAATTGTGATATATATTATACATCACTATCAGAATCACACACTTAACATTTAATACAAATGAGATATCATAGTATAGTATAAATGAGAATATATAATATTGCTTAGAAAAATATTGGAGTGTGCAAATTTCGA